CCAGTCTTCATCTTAAGTCACTAGATACTGTCCATGTCTCGCAGCCATTCAGCAACAGAGGAAGAACCAAGACTCTAAAGACTGGACCTATGTCCACTTATTGGGAGCGCCACTCATCCCTTGCCAGCGACCTCATAAATCCCCATGCTCTCCCAATCTGTCTACTAACTTCATAGGAAGAGTCGCCAGAAACATGAATGTTGCTGCTACTGTAAGTGAACCTCTCAACGAGATTAACATTCTCTTTGTAGACGGACATACTGCTGACGGCTGTGGCCAAGAGGTCAGTAAAGGTCTGGATCTTTGTTTTTATCCAGGACACTCGCAAACCAAGACACTCACACTCCTTGTTCAGTCTCTGGAGAGCTTCGGTCTTAGCCTGTTTGCCATAGCATCATCAGCAAAGCCAAGTGAATCTTTCCACACCAACAGATCCCCACAGTAACTGGACCTCATGACCTTTGCCCAACACCCAATCCATGCAAGCACTGAACAGAGTAGGTGCATGAACACACCCCTAGGGTCCACTGGGAAGAACACAGAGGTTCTGCCTCCACTTTGCACAGCACTCACAGTACCAGTGTATAGGCCAGCCATGACGCCAAGCAATTTCAGAGGGATCCGGCGAGGTGTCAGGGTGTCCCACAGGGCAGCTTGGTCAACTGAGTTGAATGCTTCACAAGAATTGACAAAGGGTGCAAAGAAACTCTGCCGATATTTGCGTTTACGCTTGATGAAAACCCTCAGTGCCAGGATGCAGTCAATGGTAGACTTCTAGACTGCTCTGGTCACTGATAGGTGAGCAAGTAATCACGGATCCTGTTGAGGATGACCCTAACAAGGACCTCATCTGGCACTGAGAGGAGTGTTTTCCCCTGTAGTTTCTACAATCCAAGCAAACACCCTTCCCTTTCGAGACAGTGACAAGAAGTTTCGTCATTGTTCGTTTTTTTTTTTTTCGGACTATGGCTGGAAGGCCAATTCTGGCATCAACCCCCAAATTTTTCCCTGTAAATTGGAGGCCCGCTTGCAGAGCCGGATGCAGCTTAACATCATACCCATTGAGCCACTCTCTACAGTAACAGGGCCAAACAAAATAAGCTGAAGAAGCCTCTTTCATTGGGTACAGCGAGACGAGAATAAAATCCTGAATGAGGCCATCTAATTGATTAAATGAAGACTAATGACCTTATGTCCATTATCTGGCCTAAGGTATCTATTTCTAGAGCTCAATTGACTTTGATGTATGTTTTTATTGAGTTTAATTATATTTTTACTGACCCATTCCTCAGAATCTCACTTTAAAAAAATCATTGCTTTGTGATAAATTGTGTTGCTATGTCCTCCACAAGGGCTTTTGTTTAAAGATAAATTAAATTAAAACAAGCCCCCTTTTCACCACAGCATAAGACATTTAAACGGGCTTCTTCGAGGGTATCTGCTGATCACAATCATTCCAAGTCGCAGTATATTATGGGGCAGATTGTTATAAGTCGCCAAGTTCTGTGGCCACTGATGCATAGCAGGTGTTGCGATAAAGCAAAGTGTTGTTATTGACGTCGATACACATGTAGAGTATATTTAAATCATAGTAGGAACGACTTGTGTCATTGGTTCTTCACACAACTGACAAGGCAAAACATCAGACAACGGACCGTCTTTCTGCATGGAGGCAGAATCAAGGAAGCACTCTTTCCGATGTAACAGAGTAATGTTAGAGTTAGATGTACTGACATCATGTTTTCTAGCATCCCACAATGGTTGAAAGTGTGTTCCAGACATTTGTATTCTGGTAGGTGTCAAGGTAAATTGGCATTGGAGATCACTTTGCAACACAAGGAATGATAACAAAAATAAGAAGTAATTGATTGTGAAAGTGGAAACAAAGGCATGACTTTTAAATCCCTCATTTAAACAGCACAGCCCCCTGCCCATACAGACTAACTCCAGTTCCAACACTTTTACTAAAAGCAGAATAGCAACCCCACACAAATGTGATTTATTCTCAGATTCCTTTTTTGCCTGATGGTTCCTCCAGGGTGGTCGACGCACATGTGCCACCCCAATGCGGTAGATCTAGAATGAAGATGTGAATGTTTTAGAGTCTACATTCAACCATCAGTGCAGGGCTGTTTCCTTAGTAGCAGCTGTCATTCAAGCTTCCAGGTGAACACAAGGATCTCAAAAATACAATATCATTTCCTAATGTGTTCCCTACAGTAACACCTACAGTATACATGATTTAAATGTGCAAAAACTACAGACAGACAGGACAGACAGATTTTACCTCTGCACAAACAGTAGCTTCTAAGAGACAAAGTCTCTGAGGCCTAAATTGTCTTAACAAAACGCAACAGTATTTATATCTGTATTCGTTATTACTTTGATGGATTAACTTTAAGTACCCCATAGTTAATATTTTTTCAAGTATTAATGTTACAAAGTATCACAGACCATAAAAACTGCTTTGATTAATGTTTATGCCTTAGCTTAGTACTTTATGAAAGAACCTCTAATTAAAACCATAAAAAAATACTTTTGAAGTTATTAGTCACGATTAAGGTACAAATTATCATTTATATTGTCTTTTTATTTTTAATCTTTTGCGTATTTGTGCGCTGCTACCTGTAAGTGTAATAACCCGTGAACGCGCATTGTTACTATGTCCATTAGACAACAGTGACATACTATTGGTCAGTTTCATAATCGCTTTCCACTGCCTCAAGATAGCAATGCACTGGACTCATTTGCTATTTAAACTACGTGGGTGCTGGACAGGAAAATGACAACTGCATCACGCTTTGCACTGGTTGTAAAATAGGGCCCACTGTATTTTTATTGACATATCTAGTCAGAGGTAATGATTCTGACAAATGAAAGAATTAAAGTTTATTATAATGATTATTATTATTAGGGAGAGAGAAACACTACATATGTACATTAGATTACATTAGATTTTTACATGTCTAACATTTATCTCTAAATGGAAGCTGAAATAATAGCTAGTATTGAAATATATATGATCAGTGGAGAAAAAACTGTGCAGATCCATTTTTTCCACATTAATCTAGCAATCTTTCTTTAAAATGTCTATAATTACTCATAAAACCCTCAAGTTCATGTTTCATGTAAATGTTACGTCAGATCATAGGATAATTACTGGTATTTAAATTACAGAAGTTTCCATTACGAAAGTTGGAGCTCACTGTGAGTTTACAAGACTCTAGATATGCACTGTAATTCGCTGTAGTGATACGGATGATGGCGAATATCAGTACTCTGAGGTTATGAATTATGAGGATGTGTTCAAGCACAGTGATGCAAAAAAGGCAAGACCAGAGTTGTCAAGATTAGATAGTGCAGCTGGTCAGCAGCATCCATCCATTTTCTAAAACTGCTTATTCAGTGCAGGGCTGTATTAGACCTGGACTCCATCCCAGGAAGCATAAGGCATGAGGCAAGCGCCGATCTGGACAGGACATCAGCCCATAACAGGGCGCATATACATAATTTAGAGACACAAATGCTTCTTTGATGTCTTTCGAGTATGGGAGGGAACCCACATGATCACAAGGGGAACATAAGTAGCAGCCTAGACTGATGCGGAGCCGTTATCCACTGAACCAGGACATACATAGGGGTAGGGTCACAAAGGCACAGGGCCCCAACTGAAAGCTGATTGGCCCTCGGAGTGTCCCTCCGGGCCCCTCTTATGCCCCCCTAGAATCCGAGAATCACTCCTCTGACTAAACCACCATCCTGACTAACAACATACTTTCATCTTAGAGTTACATAGAATTATAGAATAATGACCTATAGTATTGTATGATCATTTTTAAATATTCACTAATGTGTAAATTGTTCAATAATAAAACAAAACATTACTGAATCACAATTGTGAGGATTGTCATTTCCTAGTAACTCGCTCTCTCTCTCAGGAAAATAAAAATCATCCATCATCTTCCAGGAAGATATCCAGTATTGGGTCATGGAGAGACATAAATCAATATGTAAAACATGCATTCATTTGTATGTGCGCATGTGCAGTTTTGTTGAGCATCAACACCAAACAGTATGTACCGGTAAGTATGATGTAACCACCCTAGACTGTGCAGAAGAACAGATCTCTTGTTTATTTGATGTTCCTTGCAAGAGTTAAAGTCTGCTATAATCGTTTTTCTTAATATTTCATTAATATTCCATAATATTGTTTTTCAGGATTAAATTTGTGTACTGCATATTTTGTGTTTGTTTGCACTATGTGTGCCGTCTTTCCACCTTGTCTGTGTTACTAGGTTAATCTGTGCTCTCTGTACCTTGCTGCTGTGTACACAAGATTTTCCCTCTGGGATCAATAAAGTTCATCTAATTCTAATCTAATCCAATCCACTTCTGTGTTTTATCAAAAGGGGCAATAATGCAATTATTATTAATTTAATGTGACTTTAGAAATTTATTGTTGGTGTTTGGTGTGATAAAGAGATAGATCTAACTCTAAATAGCAACACTGATCACTGATTAGATCAGTTGTTTCCAACCTTTTTTTTTTTTTTTTTTTTTTTTTAGTGTGAGCTACTTTAACAGGGAAAATAATCTGGGGACCTACAGTCGCCACGGTATCTTCCGCAGAACAGAGGACGGGGGTGGAGGGTGGGATCGTGGAATGTCTTGGCAATCGGCCTGCTGATTATGATCAACTAGTTGGCATCCACTCAATTAGATGAATCTTCCAGCCAAAATGGCACCAAAACAGAAGAAGTAAGCTAAATGGATAACAGTACCTGCAGGTAGCAGATACTAGTGGGACCGGTACACCAGCCAGGTAAATTTGGTAACTATCATTCATGAAGATTACTGTACCAATGCAGATACACATGGATAACGACACTGAATCCTATCTCTAGTCAAACCCCCTGATATTTTTTACCAGACCTCTTCTTCCAAATTACGGAAAAAATCTTGATGCAGAATGCAAGAAAGACGAACAATATAAAACATGCCATCGACAAAAAGTCAAGCTTTTATTAATACGCTGAAGCTTTTATAAAATATTTTAACAGTCTATGCCATTACAACGCAATAACCTCAATGGGGTCAAATATTAGTATCGAAGTGACGAAAAATGCAAAAATGAACATCCCTTTTTCATTTTCAGAATAACACACATTACATGCTACATGCTCCCACCCTAGTAACATTTTTTAAATGTAACTTACTGCTCTTAGTATGAGAAATATTCCATGTCTTGTTCAAAGCACCACACAATAGGAGTGGTCATTTCTTGGGCCAAAGGTGCCAAGGCCATCTCGAAGGCTGCATGGGTTACAGTGTGTAATGGCTCACAGACCTGTATGACTGATGTTTCCAGAGGGCTGAAATCGGCCAAACTCCAGGCTCAGAGGTGCTGCTGAATGCAGCCCCCGCAGGTCAACTAGCATTCAGTAAACCAACCTAAACTAGCCAAAGCTACTTTCACAAAAGCTTTCAAAATCACTTTAAATGTGTTAAATTATAAATAAATCATTGATAACCAATGCACTCAGTGTCCACTTTGTTAGGTACCTCAATATAGTATCAGATAGGAGTGCTTTTTGTCTTCAGAATCTCGTTTGGAGAGATCGTACCCTTAAGTTGGAGTGTTGTAGATTCACAGGTATCCTATTTCCTGTTACCGTTAACAAGTCTGGCTGTTCTCCTCCAACCTCATTGACAAGGTGTTTTCACAGAAAGAACTGTAGGGCTTGAGAATCACACAGCCTGGCTGCTGTAGCGCTTAGCCACACAATAACAAGCAGGTGTACCTAATTAACTGGCCACTGAGTGCATGTCTGCATGATATTCATAAATAAATGTAATATAAAAAATCAAAATGCGATGAACACCCTTGGAAGGACATCATTTTACATTTGGCATGTAAAGTTTTTTTTTTCCCTCCGAAGAGTTAACCTATTCTAACAAAATAAAGGATCCCTGACAAATATCTTTGCATGACAAATACAGCATTCTATTCTTCCTGCACCAAAAAAAAAAGACTATACTGGCTAATTTCCATGGCAAATATTTAATTTCCTATGTACAATAATGCAATGCATGTGGCTTCAGACATAAAAAAAAACCTTAATTCAATGACCTTTTACTTTTGTAGGCATCTTTCATGTAACGCATTTGTTATACAGATAATCTGGGTTGGTTGTGGAGTATATTTGACATTCTGTAACACCATAAAAAAATTAATAATAAACAACATCTATGTGAATCGATCCCCATATCTGCATCAGCGATCAATATAATTCTCATCTTTGGTTTTCCATTCTGTTCACCTGAATCTGCACAAGTTAACGATGCAGAAAAAAAGTGAATGTAACAATGGAATGAGACGGAATGGGAGCGGAGCATAACGAAGAGACGGCAATGTTTCTCAAAACCTAAAAACGTACAAAACGGAATGTACAACATTTAGCATTACGTGTAACGTAGTACAAATCTACACCTCCCAGAAACTAAAGCAAGCTGCTTCTTATCATAGTCTCAAGTCTGTTTCATCGCTACATAGGCAATATTTACTTCAATATTTTTTATTTAATTTTTTTTATAAAACAACCTAAATCTCTGTAAAGTTTGGATTCATTTCCACACACAGTGCATGTTACCTCTAATAAGCATCTCAGTGCATTTGTTAAATGTGCATTCAGCCAGATTCCACAACATGGCTTAAAAAAAACACAACTATTTAAGCAGATGGGCCTTGAACTGGTAAAACGAATCCATACACATTTTAAAAACACACTTCCACATTAAAGTTAAGCCTCCTTTTAATGGAGATTTCTCACAGACTTCAGCAGATTAATTTCTGTGTAGAAATGAGAAAACACCCCTAGAAAATGAACAGGAGAACTACTCTGAACACAGTCTGCCTTCAAACTATGTGGCTATTAAGCAATTGAATAGATACCTATTCATTAAGGCTTATAAAAAGAAAGAGAATGACAAAACAAAGCCCATAAACCACAAGAACAAAGCAGGACAGCTCTAATTGTGACCCTTGTGCAGTCTCCTAATTCAGAAAACCAGGTGTAGTAGGACTAGTTAGGTAGCAATGCCCCCAGGTTTCTGCAGATAAATGAGCTTTTCATGAACGGTGCACCACAGGGGAAGCTCAATTATCCTGCAGGCGTTCCGAAGCGATTCTAGAGTGGCGAACAAGCGAAGTTTCTTCGCACACAGCAAAATGTAAAAACTGAGCAGGAACCAACTTGGGTTTTTACAAATTCCCCTCCCCTATTTACAGTTTCAAAAAAAAAAGGGGAGGAGGGGGCTTTCATGAGATAAAAAAGATGAAATCGATCAATTTTCTAAATAACAACAGGGGGCAGGCTGACAGTAGATCTAATCATAATATAAAAAGACTTTCAAGTATCATGTTACTAAGCCTCAGATTGAAATGGGTCCCCGAGTTAATCCACTTTCTTGTCCATGATGCTTTTGTTGGTTTCCTCTGTCGTGTCCAGCAACGCGGGCCTTCCCTGGCCCTCGTCCTCCTCATCCTCCTCATCCTCATCTTCTTCATCCTGCTTGAGGTCCTCAGTGCCGTCATCGGCCGCAGAGGCAGTACAGAGGACGTAGCACATGAGGCTGATGACGGCCACGGGAAGCCCAAACAGGAAGCAGCCCAGGATGGGGGAACTACGGAACACAGACTGGAGAAGGAAGAGAAGAGATCTATGCCCCAAACAGTACTACATATACAAACCTCACATTACACTATAAATCTATACCACATCTATATCCCACACTATACTACAAATGTATACTATATGTAAGAGTTAATGAGGGTGGTTTACCAATCTTTGAGTGTTAACCTGGATAGATCAGCTAATGACTGGTGATGTTTAATGTTTTTAGGGTGGAACCCTATGCAGTCGTCCCTCGCCACTTCGCACTTCGACTTTCGCGGCTTCAGTCTATCGCGATTTTTTGTCTATTGATTAAAAGGTTGATGAGACAATGAAAATGATACATCGCTACGCATCGGAAGCATCTTTGCTCTTCGTAATTAAATGTACAATAATAACAATATGATACTTATAACGTCTAATTTCTTATTTTCTATTATTTTTTCTAATATTTTGGGTAATACGAGTGTAATTGTCATGACCTGCCTGTCCGATCCTCTTGTACATGTGTGTCACGCCCCCTTATTAACCACATATGCAACCCCGATTGTGACCAGCTGATTTGTCAAATTGATTCAGTTTGAAGTCCACGTCGGTGTCTATAACCCCAGGTCTGTCATTGACGTTTTGATGTAGGACACAGGAACATGTAACATTTGTGGATGAGTGATTCCAAATTAACCCTTCAGTCCTGATTCCTCATCTCCCCATTCCTGCTTCCGTGTCCAGCAGTCATAAAGTAATGGTGACCAAAGGGTGTTATTTCATTTCTAGAGGGCTCTAATAATGTTAAAAACCGTATTTAGATGTAAACAGGTTTCCAATGCTCTAACTACGAAAATATTCGATTTATAAATAAAGAATCGTACTTCGCGGATTTCGGCTATTGCGGGTTATTTTTAGAACGTAACTCCCGCGATTAACGAGGGACCACTGTATATACATATTTTTTTGAGAATGGCTAATTACGTTTTGTGTTCTGTGTGGTCTCACAGACTGACATTACCCTCTTATGGGTAATACCTTAGGGTGTGTGGCTTTGAATTAAGTAGTAGTCCTGATTGGGAACTATTCTGACAACCCATCAGGTATCTATTCATTAACTATGATAATTAGATTGGTTTGTCTTTATAAACAACTGATTGCACTACTGAAAACAAATGTTAATGATGGCCTAGTGCTAAAAAAGAATGCAAGCAGTTAGAATTTGGACCCAATCTTCATTATTTCAGTTGTACTGCATTATCAATGAAGCAAAGGTATCAATCATCTGAGAAGGCAAAGTGTCTAAAGTCTTTTTTCCTGTATGACACCGACTACCCATCATGCTCTCTAAAAGTGGGGCCACCTTCACTGGAAAGAGTAACATTTACCTTTAGAAGCAATAGCTTGAAAAATCTGCAAGGTTCTACACACTACAGGAAGCTCATGATAAAAGCAACTAGGTAACAAAAAAAAATGGCAGAGAATGTGCAGCTGTGTCTTCGTGTCAGGCGTAATTTTTCCCTTGCGGACGAATCTCACAGCATGTTGTTCACATACCTGCACGGTGGATTTGGCGTCGTACGCTAGTCTCTTTACTCTCTGAATCACTCCATCTCCCCCGTGTCCCTGCTCAGAACAAAGGCTGGTGTTACAGAATTGTAAAAACTTCTCATAATGCTGCACAGAACACGGTGAGCCTGTTAAATGTCCCTTCATACTTTTATGGTAAATTTACTTCTACCGGAAAAACATCCACAGCGAATCAGGAATATGCGACCGTACAGAGTACTGTGAATGCTGCCAGACAAACACGTTTCCCTGTCATAAATTCACCAGGCTAATGGTTTTGTCATAGCATTTAATTCTGAAATGAGCTGCCAGTGAAATGAACCTTCTACATCTATAGGCCCATGACAGAGCTGAAAATAAAGCTTGGGACAGAAACTAACTTAATGGAAATGTTATTTTAACCTAGCTGCACACTCATGACACCTTGAATCAATGGCAGAAATCCTGGAAGATGTTATTTATACATAATGGCAGTACACTGTACTGTAAGTGCATATCCATTATATTAACGCTTATCAAAAATCACCGATACTATTCATTAGATAAGCAGTTACAGAAAAGGGGATGAACTGATGGATGGATGGATGGATGCCGACCTCAGCAGTCCCATCCAGCACGCTGTTGATGAAGAGGAGCAGTTCCTCCAGTGTGCTGACAGGCTTCTTGGGGAGGAAGTACTGCTCACTGGTGGCATTCAGCATGATGATGGAGGGAACCGAGATCTCACTGGCCAATAGGAAAATACAGGCTAATAATTAACCAGTCCACCATTCTTTTATATGCAATGCTTATTAATTCAAATGGATTTGATACATATTTACAATTGAGCTGCAAAAGCAGGCACAAAATTTACGTTGGGTTAATAGGAGTCACTTCATATGTCATTTAACCTGACAACTGGAAAGACAGACGCTGCAGGTTTACAGTAGCTGAACACACACATTTTGACAGTAAATAGACATTTATACATTCATAAATTAATTTACAGGCAACTGAGAGCTGACACAGACTCACCCCATAATAAGGCTGTTAATATACTCGCTACCATCCATGTGGCCAAATTGAACATCCCTGGAAAAGAAAGCCCCCATTTAATTACAGATAACTCCTGAAAGGAGCACGGACACAGACAAGATCAAATAACTGTGAGAAAGTTCTATTTGACAGTTATCAGCCTGGGAATCCAGCAGTATGAAGGACTGATTTAGCTAAATAAATAGCGTAGATACTGAGACTTATTCATTATTCACATCACAGAGAAATATAGTTACTATACCAATTTTAAACCTAAGACTTTCAATACAGCTAATATTTACTTAGCCAATCCCACATTTACATAAATCTTAACTTCTTATTCTTGTCACCATTTAAGTCATAGTAAAATACCGTACTCTGCAGAAAACGACAGTTACAAGGCCACTGGATTGCTAAAGGTGTCATTTGCATGCCTAGAATTATGTACTACACATTTTGTAAGACAAACAAAACCACGTTATTATAATCCACTTTAAATGAACACAGGCGTTCCACAGAAAGCCACCACTGCCAAACTGCAGCTTTATGTACCATATCTCCAGGCATAACTCAAAGGACCCAGAAAACCAACAAAAGCTGTAAATCAGAATTACAGTCCGCCAGCATTGCCAGCACTGAGACCAGCAAACTTCAGATATTCTGGGCAGGTCTTTGATTGCGCTTTCATGCAAGTAGCCAATCTGCGAATTTACTTTCTGCAGAGCTGACTTGGTACTAGAATCAAAGAGCTCTTTCATTTATCATGTTTAAATCAGTGATCCAAAACCAAAAACAAATTATATTCAGTTCAGTAGTAAATAATTTATTTTGTATCATATCTTGTTCTTTTTATTGCATTATTCTGTAAAACGAGGTGTTACGGGAGCCCATCTGTCATGTTATTGCAGAAAAGCCAGCAGTATATTTTTGGCTGGATTTCAACATACGAAACACACACTCTATCGCAAAGACAAGGACATGACCTTCGACAAGTGAAATACTACCTGTTTCAGAAGTTATTAGCTCACATTTAGAATATGAATGTGGGTGGAGGTATTCCTTAACTGCGCTATAAATTTCTCTCTATATTTAATGGCACGCTACCGTTGAAGATCAGGTACGACGTTACGGAGAACGCTATAATCACTACCCCCATCATTTGAAGAGAGCAACCCTAGGGTAGGTCACATGGAAAATATACCATATTCCAGCTCTTCATGCCCCCGCAGTCAGGAATCACATTAAACACAATGTTCACCCTGCCTGCCTTCCATAGATTGTTTAAATAAATACAGAGACTCTAATGGTAAACTCCTTGTGGGTGGACATTCTGACACATTAGGTCATTCTCTGCAATGGTGGACAGTTTGTAAATCTGACATCCAGGAAATTTGGACAGACCACCCAGTTCGGAGAACTGTGTTTCAGGTGTATGGCAATCAGTAAGCCGAGGTGGGGGAATGGTACAGGGGTCCAGGCTTTGGATTTCAGATGGGAAGCTTCAGCAAGTCCAGGTTCCTGAAACACAGCTCTCCGAATTGGGTGGTCTGTCCAAGTTTCCTGGATGTCAGGAAATGTGTATCACCAAACATCACATACTAAAGTCTGACACAAGCGTGTCAATGGTGAGATCTACAGGCAGTGCTGCAACAAATATTCAAGATATTCAGAAAAGTTTAATATCAATTAAAGATTTGAGAAATTCATATGCAGTTCATATTCTGACATGACGTGGCTCCAGTGTAGCTCTTCTTGCAATTAACACACACAGAACATGTGAGTAAACATTAAAGATGGCAGGTAAGAGACAAGACGGTCCTCCAGAACACCCAAAAAAATCTCAAAATGTCGGTAAGGGTAATGCTGCACAGACAAATATTCGAGAAAGAAATAAATCAGCCAAATATACAAATATTAAAATATCCCCTAGTTGCAGTCCAATCTTCTCTTTGCACTGGGTAAACTGACCAGATGACATAACGGAGGACAAACTGGCCAACAGTGGCAAACACTTCAATGTGGCTGTAATACCTGATCTCTCAGCTGAACTATGGACTTCAGCAGTGCAACTAATATCAAGAATGATTGCCGTGTGATTCTGTTACATCACAATTTACTCCTATTTTAAAAACTTAAAATACAGGCACTAACACTGTTCACCTGATGTACAAACTCTCTCTTTCTCTAATATATATTATATATATATATATATATATATATATATATATATATATATTATATATATATTATATGAATTATATATATATATATATATATCAAATTAAAGACAAGCAGGGAGAACAGACAAAAGACAGTGTTTCTTTTCAAAGCCCTTTTCATGTGTCTACTCAAAAGAAGAGCCCATTCTTTAAAAAATAATCATGCCGATACTTTATGGTGACCTAGTTGGCAGTACTGAAAATTGTAGGCAGCAGGATCAGTAAAACTGAAAATGTTCCAGATTGATGTATAAAGACCGTATCCCTAGCAGGTCAATCAGAAAACGATCAGTGAGACTCACCTGTTGTAATGATCTCGGTATTCAGTTGCTACTCTTTGAACCAGATTCCTTAACCTTTTAATGGAAAATTGATAAATTAAAAATCAAACAACTGGGGCTATAATGAATTGGTATCCATCAAATAGCTCTGTGCCTGTATATATAGTAAATTCTAATAGCGTTTTTTTTTTTTGCAATTTGAAAATGAGAGTGAAAATGAAGGAACCCATTACCTGATGCTGTCTTCAGTTGGGTTCTTCTCATCAATGATCACTATTGCCACCAATTTTCCTGTTGCAAAAAGTTTGACTTTTCAAAACTATTTATGATTATGACAATACCATTGTTATCCTCTTTATAACTCAGCTAATAAAATTACCATATTGATAAATTATCTATTCAATCTGAGCATCTATTGGTATGCTACACAGCTTAACATTAACAAAACTAATGGGTTTTGACATTGAGTTTATTACAACTACAGCTGGTACCAAAACAGCGGACGAAACCCTGTTACCACAACCTAGAAATGTCTCAAATGGACCCACATGGAATAATAGCCCAGTTACCCAAAGTATAGTGTGCAGGACAGCCAGACAGGAAACAGCTGTCTGAATGAATTTAATTACCCATAATTATTCCCTCATTCCAGTGAATATTAGGCTCCATTACTGCAGCAATATGGAATAAAGCAACCCATCGTCGATGCTCTCCTGTGTCCCTAGTCTCTGGTCTGCTTGGAACTCTTGCCCAACTCATACCTTTAAACTTACCACTGGGCACAGTGATGCAATTGCAGCTTCCCTTTATAAGCGCATGAAAAATGTAACATCAGGTGCGGGTGTGATTGATGGGGTTACCAGATACAGAGACAACAACCAAAGCTAAACCTTTATGAATTAGGCCTCATTGCAGTACATTTAAGCTCCAAACTCAAGTCGTCAGCAGTTTTTCTTCCTGTCCATCAACACAAATATAGCAGATGCATCGAACGCCGTCCTGAAGTTCTTCAAGTTCTTCCAAGGGCCTCGACAGTATGAGACTGGGCTCAAAAGCTTCCTTTGCACATTTCTGGATTGAGCCCCTTTGACTGTAAGGTGTGTAGCTGTGTGGGCGTGTCAGTGCAGCCGAAGTACCTGTATCTCCAAGATCATAGAGGGTGTAGCCATCGATGGGCAGGTAACTCAGAAAACGCTCCCTGGATACCCAGGAGGAGAGGCTCCCATCCGCATATTCTGAGAAAAGGAGATGCACCAATATCTGATCTTATCACCATAGGAACACAGAAGACCCAAGCAGCAAATCTTCACAGATGCACCATAAGTCAGCAAATCATCAAAGACCCCAAGCAGGCCACATACTGCTAAACTTACAGGAACCACAACTAGTACATACTGTAGATATTTTTAAATATACATATGTATATATGCATACGCAGACATACACGCACACTCTTCATTCTGGGTATGCAATTACTCTCAACCACAGTCTTGTGTCTTCCCTCAAGATGGAAAATGTTCACAAAAAGTTTGACCCTAGGATAAATAAGCAGAACAGAGGACCAAAATGTTCTACAATTTTAGAATACATGAATCGTCAAAGAAACCACACTTGACCAAAATGTTAAAACCATACAACAGGAACAGTCTACTTTCTCCAGTCTGGGGGGGAGAAAAAAAAATAAATAAATAAAAAATGTGCTTGGTTTTCATGTAGCAACCTTCTTCAGAGACACATTTACTTGTAAACATTAGGCTACTGAGAAATTTAATATTTTCATTGAGAAGCACTGTAAGACTGCTTGACAGCATGCCTCCGTAGAAGTCACTTACTGTGGTTATAAAGTACACAAGAATCTATGCTAAACATAACCAAAGACCAAAAAGGCAGAGGGCGTACTACTCTAATCCACTCTGGCGCATTTGCAACACTGACCCTTGTCCAACTCACACAAGTTCTACCGCATCATTGCCGGGAACAAGCTACACAGCACCACCATAGACACAATTACCAAATTCAAGTACTGAACTGTCAGCAGGATATTACCGTTTAGGCTATAGTCACTACTCTTGTTTACTGACAATTATCTGAAACAACTTAAGATGTTCTCTATATAAATTGGCAAAAATCAGATTCAATAAGACTAATTATGAGACTTGAACCAGCATCATTCAATGTATTTTTGAAACAGAAGCTACCTGCTGAGGCTGGTGGTGTGTGGCACATTGGGTTATGATGTGCCTGTGATCGGAAGGTTGCTGGTACAAATCCCAGGGCCCCTGGGCATGACCCTAAACCCCCAATTGCTCCAGATGTGCTGGAGGCTGGTTGACTCCCATGCTGTGACCCCACTCCAAACTTGCCCTCACCTCATTGGCTCCCAGTGGGCACCATGGAAAGCAAGACAGGGCAGGCAAAAATGCAATTTCCCGAAGGAGATCAATAAAGTATCACTATTCTACTCTAAAAAAAATTATATGCTTTTCTATCGTATACCTCAAATTATGAAGCAAGCAATGGATCTTGTTAAGCTAATTCAATCTGGTATTATGGTTCCATACTATGGCAAGAAAAGCATTTGGTAGAACCATCCGCTTCTTCATCCTCCACCAAACTCTCAGATGGTTACCTGAAACCTGACAGCATTGACACCAGGAAAATCACGACTTCCTCCAAAACCTTGCTGAGAAAGACATCAGGCCAAGCTCTGAACAGAAAAAAACTCACAGAAAGGGATTATTTTATTCTATGAAACTGATTCCCTGCAGGGCTGATCCCCAGCTACCTGTCTACAGCCAGGTCATCGTTCTGGGATAAGCAGGAATACTACTACCCGGCTGATGGGTTTAAATCCAGGGCGTTGGTGGGGCAAGACACTCCAAGAAAGCTACTTGTTTGGGATTATAAAACCGGCTCAGAAATACACAGAAATAAACCCAACAATGGCAGGACAACAGAAGCACACCCAGAGTCATTAGGAGGAGAGGAGAACATGAGGAGGATATGCAAACTGCACAAATGGAGAGAAGCAGTGAGATTTTAACCCACAACCCCAAGGATGTGAGGACGCTGCCGCATGTTTGGTGTTTGTGGAGTGAAAATAAGCAGGAAGGGGAAATAGCAAAGGGAAACTGCCCATAAAATGTACCACTGAGGAATTCAAGATAATTCCAGAACAAAGACAGCAACCAAAGTTGCAGTTACCACTGAACATTTCTCTCACCCACAAACATGTATTTATTTATATTATATTATATATATATAAAATTTCATTATTATTATTTATTTATTTATTACTTTCCATTGTTAACAGGAAAGGATGCAATCTTGAAAGGCAACTGTTTAACTTAAAGCATTAGCACAGTCCAACAAAGTCTAATATTAATACAAAGCCTGATATTGTAACATTTCATTTAAACATGGTTATCACTTGGCTTCATTTTATAGTCACACAACACTTAGACTTTCTTTCTGGGTGCTCTCTCTCTACAGATATGAGATAAATGACAGTGCTTCGCCGTTGAGTCACTGAGCTTGCTCCAATTATCCTAATGAACTGCCCTGCCCACCTGAGCTTGATTTATGACTGCAAAACGCTATCCTGCTTTTCCCGCTTTATGCTTTTATCTTCGACAGTGTGCCTTAGGGCCCCAGTCATCAAAAGGTTGGGGGGAGGGGCAGTATGATCACGTTAGAAAATAATATACAAAACTGGATCATTATTGCTATACACCTAAGACTTCCACTGTGCAAATCTACCAACAATACAGATGCATATACTCAGTGTCATCTATTAGGGACCTCGACGTAGTACCAGGTGGGTCCCCATACTGTCTACAGGGCCACTTCAGGGGTTGACAATCTGCGTACTCAGATAAGCTTTTCTGCACGGCCCTTTTGTACCGAGCTATTATGTTTGCACTTGTGACCTTCCTGTTAGCTTTAACAAGTCTGGCCATTCTCCACTGACTCCCCCCCCCCCCCCCCATTAACAAGGTGTTTTCAGCCACAGAACTGCTGATTACTGATGTTCTTTTGTCAGTCACCCCATTCTCTGTCAACTCTTGACACTCTACAGTGTGAAAATCCCAGGATTGTGGCCGCTTCCAAAATGCTGGAAGCACAAGGTCAGCAACAAACATCACAGCATATTTAAGGCCACTTAGATTACGTGTTCTAATGTTTAGCCACAAAGGAGGTGAAGCTCGTGACCCCATTTTGTGTCCTGTACATATTCAGACACGGAGCAGGCCGTGTGCATTAATGAGAAGGAGGACCTGACAAACTGCCCACTCGCTGTTCATTGGTTATTTGCTACAGATGCGTGGGGAAGTACTTTTTTCTCGTATTGTCATAGTGAAGCACCTTAATTTGTATTTGTGTTGTGTGTCTAATCTGTATTTACCAGTGGCCAAAAAGTTACGCAGAGTATGATTTTCATCGTATAGTGTAATTAACCATTTACTGCGCGTACGACAAGAAACACTTCATTGTAAATACATAGAAATGTCATTAATTAGGGAGCAAGAAGTGAACACACACATCCCACAAGAAACCGAGTCCACAAATTTGTGGATAGTGAGCGACCAGCCCATAAAGTTTAACTTTAAATGCAGAAAATGGCAGCTGACCTTAAAGTAGCGTGGGGTCTACCGCATCTAAAATTGTCTTTGCAGCATTTTTCAATTCCTGCCCATTTTCATGGTGGCTGTTTACAGAAGGTCCCTGGGTCTTTATAGCACGTTCTTCATCGCGTGATTCATTAAACATTGCATAATTGTACAATAATATCTGGAACCATAAGTGATTCAAGAGGTATGACGGCAGTTTTGGGATGGTCAACCTGATCTTAATCCCTACAGCAGTGCTCGTCTGCCCTGGTCACAGTGTATGTGAAATGAGACAGAAAGATGCACAATAGAAACCCAGCAGTGATTTTGGTGGAATACCCCACCCAATGGAAAGCTGCATCACTCCGGCAAAAAGTGGTGTGATATGGCAGACGTTACAGACCGATATCCTCTCTGGGGCTACTTCAGTCTATGTCCAACCGATGAGGCGAAATGCTGGAAAAACTGGAATACAGCCATTGTGTCATAGAGGCTCACGGGACTGCAAGACACTGTACTTTCTGCACAGAGTAAAGGTTTCTTTGCAACCACAAAGCTTCCTGACTCAGTGTTTCAGACACGGCTTCCTCGCCGGTGCAGCACAGAGACTTGCATGCAGGGCAGATACCAATCTTAGAGACTTCGTATGAAACTGACTTACAGGGCAGGATCCTTGCTAGTTATACATCTACTTGTATGTTTTGAGTGTCTTTTAAATTTGTTACATGTTGCAGATGGGTCGGTATGGGTTAATTGGGTTTTCACACCATGCAAGTAGCCAGGGCTATATGTATGGCAAAAGCTAAGATATGCATAACATTTTATTTATAATTAAAAAAAATAACCTGAGAAGATAAAAACTTAAATCCCAAAGTCAGCAATGAAGAGGTTACCCAACTGTCGTAAGAATAAGGTGTTTCGCACTGGCTTTTGTTAAAAAGCTAGACTTTAGTAAAAACATCTTGAATAGAATTAAAACAGTGGCCAAGGGCATTGACATGTGGGGAATACAGTCATCTTAACTGTAACTGGGCGGCACAGGTAAGAAATCCAGTGTACTGATGCATGAAAGCTAAACAAAATCTTGAATCGAAAGAGTAAAAAAAAAAAAAAAAAAACCACAAGAAATGTTCTATTTTCTATACAGAACATTCTGTATCCTCCCAGCCAGTCTTGGACTGTCGATGCAACCACGCTTCTCAGTTTCAGTGATTGAACTGTTGAGATGTTTGGAATGGGTAGCGAGTGATGGCACTAATCAGACTGCAATGTCGCGCGGGGCAGCTCCATGTCTACGGAAATCCACTCATTACCCTGCGGAGTGTGTCTTTAACGCCACAGAACAGTCAAGCCCTTACAGGATGTGGAATCACACAGCTGCCACGCGGTCAGCCGCAGCTCAGAACAGTTGTTCTGGTCTAGAGAAAGAAATAAAACGCTTATATAGGCGCGATCAAAGTGGGAGGAGAAAAACGTGTTAGACATTTCCATGCTGTTAAGCTGAGATGGCCGCTTCTCTTTGTTGAATGCACTGTAGGCAGGAGTCTTGACAGGCCAAACCCCAAACTGCATGGTCATGCAGGAGGAACGAACCACGCTGCCCCGTTAACACTGCTGAAGTCGGGAACCTAGATAGACTGAGTTTTCACACCGTGCATGTAGAGCTGTCACAATTACTCAAACTCAATTACTCAATTATTAAGAAGTATCGATTTTAAATTTTCCTTCTCGATTACTCGTGAAGGACGGGAGATGGCGCATACTGGATGAAGGTGAAAATAATCAGTTGTGTGGAAGCACTTCACATTATAAGTGAATGAAAATGCAATTGCCTGTCAGCATTGCAGAGAATAACTTAAATATCACCACAGCATGACTCCAATACAAGTACATCTTTCAAGAACACAATCGGGTTTGATTGACTCACCCCAATAATACGAGGTTACCTATAGATATGTACTATTTAACCTCTCGGAGTAGCCTAGCCTGTCCTAGTCATCACTGACTTTAAATCACTTTGCTTAATTTACTTTCCACGGCTCCTCTATGTCAAAATAATCACTCCTAAAATAAAGGTTAGCCGTAACGGAGCTGCATCTTACATAATACGGTACATATAAACCATATCCTATTATTTTTTGCGAACATACCGCAAAATATGGTTCGATCCTACTGAAGTTCTTGCAATATTTAAGAGTTGAAAATGAACTATATAGCCAAGTAGAACCTATTATCTACCAACATAGTATGTCAAGTAAGTTGGTGGAGTTGCCGCTAGATGTGCTAACAAATACAAAGCAGAGTCGATAAATCACTTGCCTTTGCTCAATATTGTATCTATCAAATGCAACATATTTCCATACAGTGGAAGACAAATTATGGTTATGGTTCGCTTTTCTCTTCCTTGTTAGTTTTCTTTAATTTCCCACCAACGCATTGCATTATGAATGATTATGAATGATGAGAATGATTATGATTGTCTTGGAGAGATAGAGATGCTGCAAAAGCGGTAAACTTTTTGTTTTGATTTTGTTTTGTTTAACATATACTGTACTAGATAATGCTGCAACAGAACGATCGTTAAAATTGCAAAACTTGCTCAATTTTGTTTCCTATAACGACCAAAAAAGCTGTAGTGCAATTTTTTCATGGTTTGAACCCAGCAGACTATTGAGGTCCTTGCAATGTGACAGTTGCATGCCCACAAAATGCCATGTCAATATTAACACCACACATTGTGCAAGCCAAGTACTGAGGGCGGCACAGTGGTGCAACAGGTCATCCTGTGTGCGAAGCTTGCACGTTCACCCGTGTGGGCGTGGCTTTTTGCCGGATTCTGCAGTTTCCCTCCACTGTCCAAAAACATGCAACTTGAGTACCCAAACTGACCATACGTGTGACCCCGCAATAGTTGGTTGGTTTCTGCTTCACTCAATTATTGATATAATCCATGGTGACCGCCCTACATGCAAGTAGATAGGGCAATATTCATGGCAAAAATATGTATGCTAGTCCATATACTTAAAAAAAATAAATTATTAAAAAAACAAACTAGTAATAACCTGAGGAATAAGAAGTTAAAACACAGACGGCAATAAAAAGATAAAATTCTAAAGAAGGTGCTTTACATTGGCTTTTGTTAAATTCTATAACTGTCAGGAACGTAAAGAACAAAGAGCAGTGTTTTACCCTTCATATTATGCATATCATCTTGTCTCTAAATTTGTGATAAAGACACTATGAATATTCATGTGTGTAGAAAGACGAACAGATCACAGAACAAGAGGCTCAGCATTACACCAGCACATAAATGAAAACTACACTCCATGCCCAGTGATTTCGGCTTAAAATAATGGCTAAAAATATCTTACCCACTTTTCTAATGAAGCAGTAAAAATGTATTTCACCACTAATACCCTGGGGGAGGGGGAGGTAGACTACAGGAAAAAACAAACCTCCAGGGACAGACCGCCGGCCCGTAAACATTTGTGCAAACTGCAAGCTGGCATTTTGTAAGTGACTGGAGACTCACCATCGTACACAAAGTGGCCCCCATCTTTAAAGACCAGAACAGCAGGTACTTCGTTCAAAGTCACTGTCTGGGAGGAAAACATAAATTATATTATATTATATATATTATATTATATACTGGTGCTAAAGCAGTTGAGAACCACAGACCTACAGTACATGTACTGCCACAGAACATAACTGCGTTGTAAGTAAATACACTCAAGACAAAAATTTAAAAACACCACACAGAATGTTTGAATTCAGTTTCAATATATTATTTATTCGAGGATTCCTGCCTTAGACGCCAGATTGCATGGAGAGATCTGCGTGCGTCATAGCTGTTGGTTCTGCAGACACAGGCCTACCTCAGGCAGGACGTCCTCCAAGGCTGAGAAGAAGTAGGTGTGCACAATCAGCTCTGAGGCCATTTCTGTGTACTTGTCCTAAAAATACATCAGGCCAATTGCATTAGATTCCACCCAGTAGCCATAAGACTCTTGTAAATTCTGCTCATGCTGTTTTTACATTTCTGGTTAATGTATGTATATATACTGGAAATTTACTTTGGGATGAAATTCATCCATCCATCCACCCATCCACCCATCCATCCATCCACCCACCCATCCACTCACCCACATACATACATACATACATACATACATCAGGGATTGGGCCCATCCCACAGAAGAAATCAAGGCTGCAAACACTTTTCATCTTTTGAAAGAATAAATAAAGCTGAATCACCTTTTTAAGGTGGGGGTGGATGCATATTTTTGTCATTTGTGGTTTTCAGCTGATTTCAGGCATGTTTCATACAAAATGACCAATGGCACACACAAGTTAAAAACTAATGAACATGGCCCAATTAGAAAATGTTTTACTTTAAGGTTTTCTTCATTAGGACATCATTAGGCCCATCAAGCCATAGACCTCATCGGTCATTACCATAACAAGAAACATCACAACCCAGATTAAAACCATCCACATAGCGGTAGTCTTTACACCGGCATGACGCTAAAGAACCTTCTAGAAATCAGACCTGTGTGATACCTTGAGAGGTGACACCCCTCCGACGTAGACAAATAGGACATCATGTCTTCTCAGGACATGTTCAAACATCTGCTTGCTGGGTAGGGATCGGAGGACTGGGCTGGATGGAGTAAAACAAACCTCAGCATTAGAAAAGAGGCTTAAATCCATTAATAGACAGGATATCTGGACATGTACTGCTGGTGCCACCATGTGGTCTCTTCCAGGAAAAGCAGAAGAGTTGGATAATAAACTTGAGGTCTTTGGCTGTAAAATTACTCCGTTATGTTGAAATTCAGAACTGCAAACTGAAAAGCAACAATCTTGACAGCCCATGTGCGCTAAAACTGTACCAGCATATTGCAGCACATATTTTTCCCCTTTAAAAATATAAAAATTGTATTGTATATTGTGTATATATAATACTTAGCATTGTCCAAAACATTATTCCTCATCATCATGTTTCAGTTAACTGAGATCTTGAATGTTTGTCACAAAAAAGAACATGCACCCTCTCCTTGTTCTGCGACGTAACAACACATTATGTAAAAACACCACATTATGTAACAATGACAAAAAAAGAAAAATGTGAAAAATTTTCATCACATAATGCGGTGTTACTACATGATGCGACCATCATATCTGCAAATGGTCATTAACCAAGCTAGTCGCTTATAACACATGTAATAACACCACATTATGTACAGCTTGACAAAAACTGTAACACATTTTCATCAGATAAATATAGGGAAATTTAGGGAAATTTTCAGGGGTGCATTTCCTGAAAGCTTTGCAATGCCAAGTACTTTGTTATCTCGTCCTTAAGATCATTCATTGGATCACAAAAACATGTTGATGCTCTTTTTTTGACAATGAAATAATAATGATGATATTGATGATGATAATAAGCTAATGTTGCAGAACAAAATTATAATGTAGGCTCTAGGGATGTAAGCAATTAATCGATTATCAATTAATTGTCGATAAGAAATTACTCGATTAAAATTAATTAATTGCAATTAATTGTATTTTGAACCTATAATTCCTTGCCAGTCCTCGTGGGGCGCACTTGTTTTCGTTTTAAGTAGTCTTTCTTATATTTTGATATTTTCTATTCAAAATATGTTTGAAATGCTACCAAATGTTATTCCCTGCCCTCAAGTGAGCTCAGAATAAACCTTTGATTAAGGAATATGATTTGCATTTTTTCTTCATATCATATAGAAGATAGCATTCTATGTTATGTATACAGTAGATGGAACCTATTCAGAGGGAAATTCAGCTTCTCAGAAAAATTGCCGCTTAGCAATTAATCGATCATCGATCGATAAGATGAAACAACTATTGATTAATGAATTACTCTATAATTTGCATCCCTAGTAGGCTCTAAATGTTATATTTTGTTGAGATATTACATAATGCATTGTTATTACATAATGCATAGTTACAGATGCATAACAATATGTAATAACACCACATTATGTGATGAAAATTTGTCATGTTTTGTCAAGTTATTACATAATGTGTTGCTATAAGTCACTACCTTCATTAGCAATCATTCGTAAATATGTCGTAAGTGTACGAGAATTTAATATGAATGAAACTGCAGCAACCAGCGATTTGCAGTCGCGGTTACACCTAGGTTACAATGATTTTCACTTAGTGAGCATTTCGATTAACGACCTGGTAGTTGGAACGGAACTTGGTCGCTAAATGAGGAGAGGGTATAGCTACATATGTAGGAATACATCTTAAGAAATCCCCAGCCTTCCTTTAGAGAAAAAAGAATCAGATAAATTCCAGTTAGTGAGGTGACAAATAAACGTAGTTCATCAACCTCAAACACTATCCACCAAATTTCCATTTAAATGAGTATTACATTTTTGTCCACCTATCCCACTTCCAACTACTAATCCAGTAGATTGGCACAGTGAGCCTACTGCCTATCCCAAACAGCCCAGGACACAAGCCAGGATCAGATGCATACATTGGCTATTCAGCAAAAGCATTTCTCTATCGAGCTAATCATAGCATTTCATTTTTGTCAATAAAATCACAAATTCCTTTAAGACAATTTGGTGACAGTCATGGATTTGTTGACACCTTTCAGGAACAGTTTGTAAATTACTGAGATTTGAGATTGAATTGAAGTGCATGCCCTTTCCTTGATGAACAAGGGTGCATGAAAGTTAAAATTTGTGCATGATTCTGTAATATTGCTGATCTGAAAATTTTAAGCTTGTTGATAATCACAATTCTTAAATAGTGATAATTTGTGAAAATTCACAGAGCTTGAAAAGCCTGCTGTGGTTTTGGTCCTGTCTAGTAAAATTTCATAACCTTTCCGTTCCTTCATCTGTAGAGCTCCCCCCCCCCAAAAAAACAGCACAACCACTCTGAGAAACCACTCGTTAACCACTTTGCAACCTACTGCCATATTTAAGTTACCTCTGCTGATATGAGAGATAAGACATTTGTTTAATTAGTAACAAAAACTACAAAATAAGAGTGGGAAGAGGATATGGGAAAAAAAAAGATAAATCCTGAATGTCAGGTAATGTCTGAGATGATACATCAGAAGTAAGGAGATGCCTTTACCCCGCCAGCCTGTTGGCAAACTCAATAATGGCGTCCTTGGATCTGGGCCCCTTGTAGTTGTAGGATGCTTCCCCCTTTATTCTAGGTGAGAAAATAAGAGAAAATCAGGCACCTGCATGGAGAAATTAGTACTAAATGTATGCTTGACACATTACGGTTTCACGGGAGCCATAGACTGCACATCATTTCCATTCACACGAACACTATCAAAACGAATTACATGGAGGAAAAATAATAATAATCATCTGAACCATGCTGTTTACGGATAATTTAACGGCGTTTGCAGCCAGACTGTTGACTCAGAAGACATTCATATAAAATTAAATGACCTTTCCCCTCATGATGAAGCAGAGAACATAATGAACAAACGAATGAACGTAATTGGGATCTCATGGGGAAAAAGCAATGCACAAAGCAAGCTTCGAAAACTGACAGGAATACAGTTACATCATACCATTTGTCAAGGTTACATCCATATACGAAAAACAGCCAATGAACAGAGAACATAGACGGTCTACGCCCTCTAAGGCTTTGTTACCAATCTGTCCCAGGGTGCTACTACATTAGTAGGCTGGTTTTCAGTGAACTGCGCTCGGATACTAGACTGGATTATTTTAAGATAATAATCTTAAATCAGTATATACTGCCCTCTGTAAGCAATGTATGTAGTGTTTAGTGTGTAAATGAATAGTAGGAAAAGTTATAAAAATAACAACATAGCCACTTGCTAAACAACCCAACCTAAATGTGAATTTATGTTATAAACAGAAACTGGGAGAAGCCAGTAATCTATACAACAAAAACATAAGGTCAAGAAAAATTAGGTCTGGGAGCCTAAAAGTAAACAAAAACATGGTATTTGTAAACACAAACAACATTAGTTCGCTTTAATGCCAGTCTGGTTCCCCCTGGGCAAATAACATTAGCAGTTCAGTCCCTTAGCAACAAAGCTCAGAGGTGATTATTTCAAGCGGCAGACTGATTCAAGACATCTACCGGGAGTCGGACAAACAAGCTGACGAAAAAAAATGATCCCTTGACTGAGACATTAACACAGTGCCACATTCTGATAGAAAAACCTTTAAAGGTGTTTGAGCATTGCTCAGTAGCTCCCTAGTGAGACACAATGACCGTAAAGCACCACGTCTGCTGTTTTTAATGGGTATTACGCCAAACAAAAATAAATTTTATTGATACTCACAATTTTATTGTGGGGTAACCCCTCACTCCAAAATCTGAAGCAACACCTATGAAACATTCAAATGATGCTTATTTGAAATGAATGTAAATATAGGTTGAAAGTATAATGTACAAACAGTCTTAATTCAGATGGTGTTACAGAATACTGATAGATTTGCCCCTCAAAGAGAAACAGTGCAGAAAACCGATTTCTGCAAGTATTAACAATGTAGGAGCGTGAGATGCTGTTCCGGTCACCGACGGTTTACCTGTGAACGCAGTGGCGTCCATCTTTCCTATTCGTACCGGCGACCCAGACCGCTTCAGCTCAGCCCCAACGTCATTCCACACCGGCTCCAACTTTTTACAGTAACCGCACCATGGTGCGTAGAACTGGAAGACACACTCCCTCAGGTCAGGCAATACAACCACAGTCTACCCCTCAGGTCAGACCATACAACCACTGTCTACCCCTCAGGTCAGGCAATACAACCACTGTCTACCCCTCAGGTCAGACCTTACAACCACTGTCTACCCCTCGGAGTCACCTAACTCATCCTTTCTGATTTATGCACAGAATTCCTCTTTTCAATCTCTTTACTGTATACTGCTTCACACGCATCTCCAAGTCTCATTCTCACACCTAAACATCAAAGCAATTACGCATCTTATTCCGACATACACGCAATTCTACGTAAGACCTGTCTGCTGGATTGGAACTCATAAGTCTGTAACAGATTGTATTATTAAAATATAACTATTTGACCTGAACTATGCTGCCCTACAAAGGCAAAACGCAGTGACTATGCTGACACTGAAACTGAGAAAAACAGTGTTTTACCTTGGTTTTAGTGTCAAATTTGTAATTACTGTAATTTTCACACTTTATTTTCTTCAAAACCGAGCATAGCTGAACTAAGATATCTTGTCACAGAATTAAACAGAGCCTGAGAGACCCAATTTCAATAATAACTAAATACTGACAAAATATGCAGTTACTGCTTTGCCTTTGTATGGCAGTAAGAGAGCAATTTAGCATAAATTTAAATCAGTGCAGTTCAGCTTGTTCAGCCTAAGTGATATTTAGGTAAGAAACACTGCACAAGACTCACTGCACATTGAATACGTACTTCCGTTGACGCTCCTTCTCTCGTTATGAGTATATTTGTATCATAAATAACTGTAAATGTAAATGAATCACACCGGTGTGGTTACGTGTACCTGATAATCTCTGTGTTAGGGTCTGCCTGAATTTTTCTCTCAATGTCAACACTAGCTTATCTCCACTCTTTGGAGATTTGGAAACAGCCCTGTCCACACAGCCTGGAATAAACCCTGGATGCTTTTGCTAAAGACGGCAAAGCCTCCAGTAAGGGAAGATCTGAACAGCCCGACTAGGCGATAGTGGAAATGGGGTTTCCACAACTTGAAATGCAGAGGTTCGTTAGTGTGTGCACATGGAGTACTTACATCCACCAACCAAACATCGTCGTTTTTTATATCTTTGAACCTGAGGAAACAAAATATTTAAACCTGTAATACTGAGAAACGGAAGAACTTTCATTCACATTGCTTACAGTGACAGATGCTCTGTATATAAAATGCTGGTACAAATTATAGGTAGTTTAATGTTCCTAAAAATGCCTTGGAGGCAGCATAGAAACACATATATGGATTAGACTGTAAATCACATAACTCATGAGCCGCATGAAGCATAGCGGTTACAAAGAATATAGACATACAGGGGAAACAAACAAATTAAGAAAAATGTTCATAACTTCGTGCATAAGTGAAATACACTGATAATGGTACAATGCCAACAAAGACATGACAGAAGTACTGAAAAAAAAGAAAATCACATTACTTTCCAAAGCACAAAATTGTCGGTCATTAACCCAGCATCACTTACGAGCCATCGAGTTCTTCCACAAATGCAAATACGGCTGTACTCCACAAGCATACTGTAATAAGAAAGTGAAACATCGGAAAACCGCGTCAATTTCAAGTCACCAGCAATGGGAGCGATGTTACTGCTGTCATCATCGGTACGGTCGCCTCACACCACAAACGCTCAGCGGCGAGCAAACCCCAGAAACAGCACGGCAATTAGATGGCACGCTTGCAAATTAGCAAAGTTAAAGTAAAGGTTTAATAGGGACCAACCCGCGGAAAGCAGAAAGGCTTTCCCGCCTGCCATCTTTTCGGCTTGAACTGCAGAGCAGGAAGCGCAGCCGTCAATGGACGCTGCACTGCGCGTGCGCGCACCGCCGAGGATCTCCACGTGACAGAGGAGGTGACAGTGCGGCCGCCAGCCCAAATGGCTCGTGTGCTCAGTCAAGCCATGGGCAGTCAAAACAGGCATAAAAACTTACCACTTACATGGTAGTCAGCATTGTGTCAAAATCTTATCAAAAAAGTGTGTTTGATGACTAGATTGATACACACTATTTGGCCAAAAATATGAATTTAAACCGGCAAGAACTTAACAGCCGACTATTCAATCATTACAGCTCAGTAACGTTATGTAGCAATAAAGTTAAATCAGCTGAGTACCTGAATCTACTGAATGGAAAGGTTATCCTATCAATGGATTTTTTTCTTTCCTAACGGCATGGAAATATTCCAGGACAATAATGCCGAGATTCATCGCTCTTGAATTGTCAAAGAGTGGTTCGGGGAGAATGAGGAATCAATTTCACATGTGAATTGGTCACCACAGATTCCTGACCTTAAGTCCATTGAAAGTCTTTGAGATGTACTGAAGAAGACTTTACTGAGTGGTTCAACTCACCTATCATCAATACCAGAACTAGACAAGAAATTAATGCAAATCTGAATGAAAAAAAATGTTGAGATGTTGCAGAAACATGTGGGGAAAATGCATTGACGAACGTGCACCATCATCAAAGCGAAATATTAAAGTATGTGACTTTTTTTTTTGGCCAGGCAGTGTATAATTAACTACTTCGATTTACTGTTTACATTTAAGGATGAAGAAGACAGACGATGGATAGCCTGCAGGGGTCAGATTGATGGAGCTATTCCTCCTTGTCGTTCCCATTCATACATTACAGATGTACTCAGTGACACAGTCCGTGTTTGTCAAATGCATGCATTGTCCTGCTTGGAATCCCTTCATAGGCTCCATGGTATCGGTAGACAGTGTTTTAGTTGGAACTGTGTTTTGCATTTTGCATGGTGGCAATACTGTATCTCCAGATCTCCAGGGTCGGGGTTTAAAGTTCCACTGCTGGCTCTGCATGTGAGAATTTGCATGATCCCCCTGGGTCTATACAGATTACCTCTGTGTATTCTTTTTTTCTCCTAGAGTCCAGTTAGATGAATTAGCACTTCAACATTTCCCATAGTATGACTCTGTGATAGACTGGCTTCCCATTCAATGTATCCCTTGTCTTGTGCCCTAAGTATCCTGGGTTAGGCTCCAGGCCCAGGCTGACCCCCTATGTCAGGAGGGACACTGTGAGCTACGACGGGGTTTGAAAACTACCATTTTAACCATTTCAAATAAAAGGACCCAGATTTCACTGAGTTCTTGCTGTGTGCTGATTCATCAGTCTCCTATAATCACGCATGTGTCACTAATGTTAATGTGATGAATCTTTCCATTAAAGAAACAAACCAATAAAAGCACAAGAACTGAACTTTTTAGCCAAGCACAGGAGCCCTTCAGTTTTAAAGTCGTTTGTAAAACCTGAAGTAGCTCAGTGTCCCTGATATGGATTGGGTGGTCACCCTATGTACTAGTCTCCCGTTTTTCGTATGGAGTTGTTTCACCACAAGGTGGCAGTGTTGCAACACATTATGAAGTCCTGTTTAAAACCACTACAGACAACGCAGTTATGAGATCCAGTGAAGCACCCACCTTCCCCTGAACGGAAATGTTTTTGCAGTGGTTCAGATAGTCGTCATTCCTGACCTAAAGTTAGAACTGAAAAATCCACTGTATTTTTACAAACCCACAGAAGAAAAAATGTAATGCTTAAACAACCAAAGGGGTTTTTATTATAAATTTTACACATTACAGCATTATAGCATTTGAAAAAGGGACTCAGTATTATAAAGCATTTTATACATGACAGTTCTCAAATATCATTAAAAAAATTCCCATAGTACAAAATATAACGAATGTTGCAATGGTGACTAGGAGGGATTTTGTGGTTCATTTCACTTCATTTTCATCACAAAAATTTTTATTATGTACTTTGAACATAATTCTGAAGATACTGTACATCAAAGCAGCAATATTAGCTTGGTATGCTTGTAAATACTGTATCTAGGAAAAAATAAATAGGACGCTTCACATTACAATACATTAAATTCAATGCTAAAAACGAATTTTAACTTGTAATACTTATAAGTTTCTTTGTGGTCCAGTCTTCCATAACATTATGACTGGATCACCCATAGCGACTAGATATTCTGTCTGATCTTTGACCTGATTGGCTACAAAAAGCAGACAATATGGCAGATTACATGTTACAGGCTCCTGTACAATTGAGAAATCAACTAGTGGCTAAAGTCCATTCACCATCTGTGTGTTTCTCGTATTCAATGGTTCAAGAAATATGGAGCAATTACTCCTGGTTAGACGTTCTCAAATACGCTTTAATGATCTCCACCCTCAGTAAACCGCTCTGTCCAGTTTGTTGCCCGAGAGGAATGAAAAAGCAGGGAGCATCGGGCTGAATAATTTCGCGCACTGAAAAAGAGCAGCCCTTTCTCACGGGTAAGTGAAAGACATGACCGCTTTACTAAATAGAGCCACTGAGAGTGTGCATTCGAGCTCCACCGCCAAGTTTCTAGGGGCATGGTATCCGGGCCTCTGGATGCTGAGAAACAGGTAAGCATTTTGCTGCAATTCACAAAACAAGTTAGCAAAGTACGCTCTGACCAGTGAGCCGGTGTTTAATCCACAGCCATAAGCATTGTGCAAATTAAATAGCTAATGGTTTGCTGAAAGAAAAAGTCAAAAGTCATGCAGTCATTCTGGGTTCAGCCATGAGATCTGTCCAAGGGACTATCGAGACATGGAACCTTACGTTTAACGTTATATTATAGCTACCTTAACACTATCTACTCAAGTGCCTGCTTCCGTTGTCTAAATTCCATTTAACGCTTTCAGTCTGCGAGGAAGTAAAACAATATTTAGCTATCTATGTAGCTGCTTGCCACAGAGTCTAGCTAAACAGCCCATGCCGTGTTTCCTTTATAGACAAAGAAATGGTCTGTCTTTTCAGACGCAGAGCATGCTAAGCACTCCTACACCCTGACCGCCAACAGCTTTTCCTGGGTCCTTCCTTACACAGAAGTTTCACTTACAAAGGCGTCAGTAAAGACGTCACTCCCATTCTGTCCCCTAACAAGCAGTGACGGCTTTTCAAAGACTGCAACATTCTCTTAAATGCTAATTGGGTTAATTAAACAAAGCAGCAGCAACTGCTGGACACACCAGTGATTAGCGGTGGGCTTTACACTTTTCCTAATGCAAAAAACCTTTGTAAGAGATAACCTAGAAATTAGGTCATTCTCCTTAGAGTAAACATGAATGAATGATCTAATCTGCTTCTTCTATAATTGTGCAAGAGTCGAGCTGCTTTAGAAAACCATACAAATTGGTTTCTGCCAGGAAACATATACGTGTAATGCTAGCAGGTCCAGTTATTTTGGGGTATGGTCTTCCATTTCTTGTCCATCTCATTAATGATTCTGTCTCAATGGATCATTTAGATTTCTGCCTCTCATGAATAAAAATGACAGGAACGACAAATGATGATACGGTGTCTAGGAGGACATTCGAGGTGAAGAAGCATCGCTGGTAGACATAGTCAAAGGCCGCTGATATGATGTTGGTACTATCCGGGAAGAGTAAGTAAAGGACCCATTGAACCTTTGATTTTATGCACATACACCCATAGTAGGCAAGAAAAGTCCTGATTGAAGGTTGAAGTGCTGGTAGATACAGCCATAATCCCAGCTTCAGCATTCATCCTTGAGGGTGCCAGCAGTCACCCCTGGAGCGATCTTGAGTTGGGCTCCATACAAGAAGATAAACACACAACCATGGTAGGGTTAGGCACATATGGAACTCAAAGTACCATATCCACGTTAGGCACGAGGAGAATCAGGCAGGAAGGAGCCCCAGTTCGGCCCCTCCGAAGTAGTTCTGTCGTCAGTCATCCTGGATCTCTCTCCATAAGAACAAGGCACATCTAAGCAGAGCTTGAAATGTTGAATCCTACTATGGGAAAGATCAGATCGGTGTACAGCACGTGTGTCTGAGGGGGCAAGGTCATCTGTATGTGCAACATGTCACTCCAGGATGTCCGTCTCAAAGGGAACTAGATGATAGTAAGACAAGTTGGTGACATAAGCCTGTGTGTCATCATCATTGCCACTGTGGTCAGGCTCTGTGGCCGGGAAATCCCCACCATTTTCAGACCTGGATGAGGGAAAACACAGGCAATGATCACTGTGTATACATCTCTTATTCAAAATAATTTACTTTGTACTGTCTCACTAGAGTTTTAAAGAAAATTGAGATGGCATTCTTCATAAACCCTGGCTGTTCTTAGATTAACACTCCTGCTCTAAAACAGTTGAGGACATTAAACTGACCCTAAATATTAATAACAGGCACACACAGAACAGAATGCACGGTATGTTAAAAAGAATTTTTATGGCCTGACCATCACGACACAAGTATCTTTTCTTTAAATAACTTCTTGCTTATTGGCGAAATGTAAATGTAACATATTCCTAAAGCTGTTTATCAGTTAGCACAGAAGCACTTTGTCAGTTTCATTGACTAAAGGGAGGATGAACTTTTAGGATCAGACTTGCTGACCTGTCTAAGCTTTCCAAATATTTATTGCAGATGTATTATGCCTGTCAATGGGCAGGGGTTTTTAGTTATGGTGCATATTCTCATAAGGATAGTCTTTAAATTAAAGTCAAAGTTTTGACCATGCAGTGTCCTGTTTCACCTATTTTCAAGACCCTGAGTGGAGTCTGACGTCACAAACATCCCCTTCATCAGCCTATAAAGCAGTGGCGATTGTAAGATTTGATCTTTAGGGGGCCTCACTCATCAGTAGGGTTCTTACTTTCCGTTTGGGGCAGGGGCATCCATGACATTTTGTACGAAATGTTTACGAAAAAACAGGACAACCGCGAAATCAATTTAGAAAAAAACTTTTTCAGGGGGGCTGACACAAAAAATAAGGTGGCTGTAGCCTCCCCAAATAGGGTTTAAAATCGCCTATGCT